GTGAAGCAATGTCCTCCACAACTAGACTGAAGAACAAAAAGACAGCAACTTGTCTGTTCCCCTTCTCCAATTCCCCAATGCTGTTCCCTCCCCCAGTTCCCCAATAAAAATCTTCCAAAAAAAAAATCTCCCAAGTTGGGAGTTAGGGAAGGCTGTCACTATAGTGAAGTCAGTCTCTTTGGTTCCTCTCTGGTAGTTTGACTCCTCCAGAGGTGAAACTGAATTCTTAGTATACTCCAAAGCAAAAAAAAAAATTCATCTTCCAACTCACTCACTGGGAACTTACCTGCATGCACCAACACAAAGCCCCCTCGCTTCTCTTTATGGGACTGCTTGGTTTCCAACTCTTTGGCTATTATGTTAACAGCCGAAACCTGAGATGATCTGCAAGGCAGCCCTTCTCCAGAACTCATCCCCTTCTCCATGGTCATTCTCCGAGATTACCATCTTCTATCGGGAAAAGAGCATACTTCCATCCAGTAGTAATTGCAGGAGAGAAATTACCCTAGAGGAAAACAGACAAAGATGATATACATTCCTTTCCACTAACACACAAGTAACTTGTACAAATCAATACAAAGATAACTTTCAAAAAACCTAATTTTAATGTTATTTAACTGGCTAATACAAAGAATATAAAAAGGTTAGAATTTAAATTTCTCTGTCCACTTAACCGTACATGCTTGAAGTCACGTAAACAAAAGAACTGTTGTGAAAAGACTTCACAATAAGTCCAAAAATATTTTACCTTTCATTTTATCTATATTGAAAAAAATCTCAATATAACTTAAATATCACTTTCTACTCCCTCCAACCCAAATGCTAACAATCACTGGGATATTCCAAAATCACTGGCAGTGCTGGCAACATCACCAAACCTTGACATAATGCCTGGATTGCTGTTTACTTTTTTTTTCAGCTTTATTGAGATACAAATGACATATAACATTGCATAAGTCTGTACAACATGATTTGATACACGTATATACTGCGAAATGATGACTACAATAAGGTTAGTTAACACCTCCATCACCTCAAATAATTACAATTTTTTGTATGTTGTGAGAACATTTAAGATCTATAGATTGATGCTTAAAGAAATAAAACAACATATAGATTCAGGCTGCTATGAAGAACCTCTTTTACAAAACCGCTCAGTTGTAAAACACAAATGCTAACAAAACTGTATGACTAAACCAAGAAATTAAAACGACACTTGTGCAGAAACTTGTTAATTTTCATGAAAGCATTATTTTTGAGGTTCTCAACAGATAAACAAATGCATTATAAAATGTAATAAAATAAATTACAAGCAGCTTATATGACAAAGTTTCTAATTTTTCTCACAATCTTCTAGCAATCTTAGCTTAATAACAACAACGATGGCAGAATACATTTCATACGAGGGAAAAATGGATCATTTAAAAATCGACACACAGATTTAAAGAAAATCCAAGAGTAAGGTTGTTGAAACTACTTAAAACCTAGATTCACACTGTTACATAAAAATCTGTACCTTATTCTAAGTTGAGAAATAGGGAGAGGTACAAAACTTTCTTTTTCAATATAAAATAGCAATGGTAACATAAAGAATGACTTAGCTGCCTAATCCAAAAAAACAGTGTTACTCAAAGTGTGATCTGCATATCAGTGTTTGTTACCAGTCTGCAAGAAATTATTTTATTAATGTACTAATTGCTCTATATGCACATTTTCAATAAACAATGTGGACAGTTTTTGTATTTTTCTATTTCTTCATGTTTTATTTATGATTATATTTTTAAAACAATTACATCTAAATCTAATAACAATTTTAGCTTTTACTTTTTTATCTTTCATTCACAGTTCCATATTTCTGTTGCATTTAGGTTTGGTTTTGGTTTTTGGTTTTGGTTTTTGCATTTTACAAAAGAAACAGTCACCAATGGATCGAAGAAGTTTTTAAGTTGGTCCTTTACACCTGAGATGGTCTGAGAAGCACTGTGATTGGTATTTTTAACTTCCTTTAATTCCTGGTTTAAAAGTTTATTTAATTCATATTATATAGCATTCAATTTAAAAGACAAATGGTTTTAAATGATATATATAAATGTATATATATATAT